AATCTATGTTTATTTTAGATTTGTACATTTTGTATATGGAATAAGGTACTTAAATAGCTCTGAAAAAAAGTGTAAATATTTGTTCATTAATTTATGAGGAACATAGATCTACTTCTTTTGTACTCTAGTTATGCCACTATAAAGATTGTATTTGATTGTACTAAAATTTCATTACTGAACGATGTGCAGTTATTTGTTTAAGGGTTGTCAGAATGTCAAGTTCGTGTATGATACTGTGATCTTGTATTAATGCAACAGCAGAAAGAATATAATTGTTGTGAATATGGAAATGATAATGAACCTTTAATGCTCCTTTCAATGGCCGTTTCCAGCTCCGTTTCCTTTATCTGCGCTTCCGGGCTTGGCTTTGGTGCAGCAGGAAATGTTACCAAAACTATGCTCATGTTATCTCTGCTACCCTACACAAAAAGCAAAAAAAAGATTATTTATAATAAACAGACCTGCAGAAATGCAATTCTACAGGGTCCGCTGCCAAAATCCGGACAAACTTAAATTTCAATTTCCTGTCACATTTGACTTTGCTGTAGATAGCCGTTAGTGTTTTGTTTATTCAATTGTTTGTAATAAGCGCCCATAAGCACAAAATGTCCGAGTAGATAAGATCGAATGTGGAATACAATCGAAGAGCTGCGATTATCGAAGGCCTTCGCGGACTGAAATTATTCGGTTCTTTGGATACTCGGATCGATCGTCCATGATGTGCGGCTAAATATTTTATTTCAGAGACATCCGAAAAAGAATCTGCCAATCCAACGAGAAAGAACCATTCGAAAGAAATGCCAATTAATTTATACCCTAAGCGTCGTTTCCAGTGAGGGTCACGTTATGCCACCACATTTCTTTCAAAAGAAAGAAACCGTCATCAAAGAGGTTTATTTACGCATTTTGACAAATGTAGTGAAGTCGTAAATAGATACCGTGACCGCTGAAAGGCCATATATCTTCCAACAGGATGATGCGCCAGCACACATGAGTCACTAAATTCAGGACTGACTGTCGGATAATGTTTTGGTCCAAGAAATTCTGGCTTCCGAACAGTCTAGATTTGAATCCGTTGGACTACTATATGTGGAGTGTCATTAAATGAGTAATCAACAAGTCGAGACATCCTAACGTGACATTTCTTCAGACCATCATCGAAGTGGCAGTCGCCAATATGGACCAAGACGCGCTACAACGAACGTGCCAGCATTTCAGGCTGAGTATTGAAGTCGTCATTGAAGCAAAAGGGAGTTACATAAAGTAACTGTATTCTAAAAGGATATCACTAGTGATGTACAAACAGCTTTTTGTAATTCTTAAAATTTGAAGAATATAGACTTTTGTTTAAATGAATCGTTCCTTTTGTCCGAATTTTGATGGCAGACCCTGTATTCTTTCTAACATATTAGAGTGCATACTCCTCTTTTACTATGATTGATCGTTCATCGTTAAATATACAGAACATAATAACATATAGATAATGCATTTTACTGTTTAATAAGCAAACAAAGTGATAAATACATTAAAAGCATGATAAACAAGATTAATAACAAACAATAGGATGTTATTTAAAGTTTAAAATATAATAATACATATTTAATTATGATGATAATAATATAGGCCGAAAATGTAATGCAAAAATCATGAAAAGTATACGAAAATGAGATAAATAAATTTATCACTGTGTATACACGTTACATAAACTTGCAAACCAGTAATCTCTGTGGGGAAGTTCTATTTTTTGCAAAAATTGTATTGAATGTTATAAATATGGAAATGATCTAATATCTGTTGTGGTAATAGAAATCATTAAAGCAGCACACTTTTGAAAATATATAATGCTGATAAAACTTATTATAAGATGTATCACAAATCTTTAGATATCATTACCTTATAAAGACAGGTATCTATAACCTGGTTCGTAACTGCTTCTAAGTCGTCTGTAAGCAGCAGCCTCGAATGTATAAAATTACATAGATCTTCGTTGTGCATTACATCCCAAATACCATCACATGCTAAAACTAGAAATTCATCGTGTTCATCGTCTCTATCTAGCATAAATATTTCTGGTTCTGGAGACACTAACTGTTCACAGGGGCCCCGATCTTTTAAATTTTTGTACTCATAATCTCCCAATGCTCGAGAAACAGCTAAAGCTCCATTAACTCTCTGTATCATTACACTACCACCAGCATTTTGAATTCTTTCTTTTTCAGCTGGCAAAACAGGTTTATGGTCCCGTGTTGCGAAAACGGGACCACCTGCTCTACAGAGTACAGCTCTAGAATCACCGCAATTAGCAATATATATATTTCTGGGAGATATAAATGCACAGACAGCTGTGGAACCAGATTTATCTGTGCCAGAACTCATTTCTGGTAAGTCTCTCATTGCTCTGTCAAATCTGAGAAAGCCCGAGTGAATTCCATTGACAACGTCTTCTGCTTTAAACTCTTCTGTTTGTATTATACATTCTAACAAATGTTCTGCACTATGAGCAGATACTAATGCCCCAGCATGACCATCAAACACTGCGAAATAGCTCCAATCTGACAGACCACCATTTAAGCCAGTTATTGCTCTGTGAGCATCCTCCATCTCTGCTCTCCAACCTTGCATGCTGGAAACACCATAGCGTAATCCATTGCTTTCACCATGCTCATTATATTTTTCTGTTTTCGGAGTATCCAAAAGTGCCCCCATAGTATTTACTAAATATGTGCTGCGTCAACTCGATCAATTTGATTCCTTGGGTATTATTTGACCAGCATCTTTTAACTGATCATTCGAGTAACGCTTTCTTAAGTTTTACCTGAAATTGTAAAGAAAAAACAATGATAAACTATTGATATAAAGGATGTTCCATTTTTCCATTAATAACCCAACTTTATCAATGTATTCTGGGAGACTAAATAAACAGAATATACACTGCTTGCACAAATGGAGCAAATGTAAATATCACTGGTCCATTCCTACCTCATGTCACAGTAACCACACAACTGTTTTTGTAATGGTTTTTTAATAGAGCACCAAACGACTTATGTTTATATAACATTTTTTTCTTACTTAGACCCACAGAACACACTGACAATGTTTGACCACTAAAACCTGGAACAGGCTGTACATATAAATACAAGATAGAATCATATCACGTTCATTGTATATGTTACGACATAACTTATAATTTACTTCTAGATTGTTGCGAACACACACAGAGACCTCGCTGAGAAATCGGTTTGCGTTATAGTCACAATTTTGGTTTGAACGAAGAAAAAAAAGTCAAATGGAACATAACATCGCTCTAATGCCGAACGTAACGTACAATGTAATCTGGAACTGCGAATATTTTAAACGGTACACAGATAACGTTCGCGTAAATAGAAATACTCGAACAACATGCGGTCACGTTTATTATGGAATTATAATTGAAACTCCGTCGACGTTACGAATTAGTAGGTTTTAGGGGAAAAAAATCAGCTGTATCAAATTCTAATAGGAAACTCTATTTGGCAGTGCCAAATTTCGCGACTAAAATAGTTTATACCTCAGATTACATGTTCACGAAACTTACGTAGGGAGATCGTGACCAAATATCATCGTTACTTCAGGAAAGTATATATGTGTAGAGCGTGGTATTGCTAATAGACTTGTTTCATACCACTATCACCATGTTCCTTTGCTAGGCTCAACACACAGAACCAACGAAATCGACTTGCATGAATGGCGGATATACACTAGGCGATTTTCTGCGCATGCGTCGGTTATTAATAGCATTGCCTTGTGGCGTCACAATCCGCCAATCAGAAGGCTGCGATTTCCGCTCAAGACTGGGTAATCATATAGGGTGTCCTAAAATATCCGTTTATCACTGTTGAGATGGAGGGGAGTGATTTTATGGGAAATTTGAAAAATCATACATAATATGTACGTATTATATATGTCATGTTCTTCGCTTCTTCTTTTCTGAATTTTCAAAATTCTTTTCTGTTGTCCCTTCAAGTTTTCTTCAACTAATTCAGTCAATTATTAGATTACTTAATTATCTAGGTTAATTTCAAGACGTGTTCTAATATCAGAATTGACACGCTATGTAAAAGAATTTTAAAAATTCAGAAAAAGGGGGAAGTTTCTTTGATGATTTCAAATTCTAATAAAAACATTTTCGAAATCATTGTTTGAGACAAAAATTCTTGATTCTCTTACTCGCAATAAAAAGTGTAAGATTCTATTCAAAAAATTAGATATTTAGTCTAAATAAAATATTTTAAGCCAATTTCAGGAATTTAAAAATTATTGTTCAATATATCTATGTATACAAATTTTCAGATTTCCCATAGAACAATTCCCCTCCATTTTAACAAGACAGACGGGCGCTCTGGGACACCCTATATATAGATGATTCTGAGGTAAAATTAACTCACGCGCGATACTGGAATTAACTCTTACGAACAACTATATAAACAAAAACACGAAGTTTTTCTCGATGATAATTCATACTGTCGCTGATTATTGCGTTTATCAGTATTGTTACAGTCAGCAAATTCAAGAAATTTGAATTACGCTGCACGCGTTCAAAATCGATTTCAACGAGTTCTCGATCTATTTGAACGTAGCTCCGAACTGTAATACGAAAAGTCATATTTTAATAAATTTTAATATTTAAATATATCATAAGTAGGCAATATTTAATATTTGTAGTCAATAATTGATGGCTAATATTATTTATCGATGGAAACAGCCGAAATTTTTGATAATTATTTTTCTCTAATTAATCAATGAAACGAAAATATTTAATCGATTGATGCTTAACTCCGAAATGTATATAATGTAATTTTTGATAACAGTCCATACATAAAACTTATCATTCTTTCACAAATGATTACATTTCGATAAGCATTACTTTTTTTATGTAATCATAATTCATCGAACAAATATTACTCGA